AATGAATATTTATTCAGCAGTTGTCATTCTAAAGGGGAGCAAAGCTGGGGATTTGTTCTGCTTTGCTGGAATATATAGAAGTAATTAGAATTTTAATTAAACCTTGCTCAGTTACCTTTGATGCCATTTCAGGATTTAAAAGCAGAATGCTAATTTCATACCTATAGCTGAGGGTGGTGGATGTGGCTCACCAGGCTGAGTTTGGCTGCACCAAGTATAATATTGGCTTTTGAAATGTGGAGTCTGAAATCTGTGACTTGCTCAATTTCAGGAGGTTTTCTTACAGAAAGAGCTTATGCTATACAGGAAAAATAAAGTAAGATTGGATGAAAACCTTAGGTAGTAACTTAACAATGTGGACAATTAGGAAAAGAAAAAACAGCCTTACCTAGACCTGAAAGATTTGAGGATTTTCTTTTTTTCCTGTTTTTTTTTCTTATAAATAACTGTTCTTTCCCAATTAACCTCTAGTGGATTCCTAAACTATGTAAGGGAGAGAAAGGCTTTTAGCATTTGTCAATCATTCTTGTGATGAAGAGAGCAGAAAAGAGAATACATTGGAGGGTATTTATATTTGTAGTAAAGTAGTAAATTAGTCCTGTGAACTGGCACAACCACTGTGGAGGGAACCCTCTAATCCTGCCTACGTGCCTGCCTGCAGCTGCTTTCTCATCACTGTGTTGTGGCAGCTTTTTTAACTGGACTCAAAGAGAATTACTCGACTTTTGCTAGACATAAATCAGGAAAATAAAATGCATTTCCCTAACTCTGCTACTGACACAATGTGACCTCTCAATGCAGACCAACGTAGATTCCCTAGACGAGTATTTCAGTGCTCCCTTATCCATATAGAGGGGAAAAAAAAAAAGAAGTGGAAAAAAACCCAGACCAGAATAAAGCCCAAGCTCGTTCTCTGGAGCTCAGGGAGAGGAAGGTGTTTGCACTCCTTGAATCATGGAGCACAAGTGTGTGTTAAGCCATTGAGCGAAGACAACTTAAGCCATGAAGGTAAACAGCAAAGATATTTCCATGGCAAGTCTCTCCTTGGGTTTTTGCTAATCACATGGGATATTTTTCACAGTCACAGGCTGGAAAAGCTTTGCTGGTCTAGGTTGATAACTCAGCTCCACTGAAGCCAATGGCAAAGCTCCCCCTGACATCTCTGCATTGCTGAGTCTGAAACGGTGTGTCCTCCTGACTCATAACACAGCAAAGCAATATTAATAACCATTTCCACTGAAAACGAGAGACAGAAGGAGGAGTCAGCTGTGCTTCACTTGGTGAGTCACTCCCAAGGCTCTCCTGCATGTTCCACCTGGCAGGGAAGGCTTGTCCTGGTCTGTCTCCTCTCTGGGGAGTCACCACTTTCAGGGCCCTGGAGTACACAAACCAAGGATGTTCTGTCTCCTCTCTGGGGAGTCACCACTCTCATGGCCCTGGAGTACACAAACCAAGGATGGCATTTTTCACTCCCTCACAAATGTCATGGCACGGTTTAGGAGCTGGTAGTGCTGGAAAGGCTGTGATGAGTGATTCTCCCACTCCAGCCAGCAAATGTTAGGGTTTGTCTGTGATTTGGGTGAAGGGAGAGACACTCAGCTCTTGCTGAAGAAGAAAATTCCTGTATTTCTAACCTCAAGGATTCCAAATCACCACCAACAACCACCTAGTGACAAATTCACGAGGCAGACTGAGACAGACTCAGCTTTTCATAGTATTCTCTAGGGTTTTTTTTTTCCTTTATTTTTAAAGGAAAACTAAGATTTTGTTGTAGGTGAATGACTTTGGGAGCGAAGGCTTCGGGGCAAATATCAACTATCTTAAAAATGTGAGCAATGAGCTCCAGAACCATCCCACTGCAATAACAGCATGGGAGCTGGAATTTCAATGGCAGCTCAACTGGTGTGTAAAACAATGTGATTCGTTGGGTTTACATGGGTAGAAAACCTCAGTTTACCTTCCCATGGGTTTTTATCAGCTTTCTAAATCTGCAGCTGCTCACAGTGAATCTGGAAATAGTTCTTGCTGAGCTGTTTGCCAGAAATATCAGCCATCCTAAGTGGGTACAATATGAAACAGAGCATAAATTAGGCCTCAAAAAATCCAAATAATCAGAGCAGTGTTCCCAGACTGACCCGTTCCTGCTGCCTGACCTTTCCACCTCTCACCTGTGTCCCAATGCCCAAACCCTCCTGACACCACAGAGAGCTGAATTTGGGGGTTTGTGAAGGAAAACAGACTCACTTCTCCTCCTTTGTCTGTTCTGGGTCAGGGCTAGCTAGGTCCCTTCCAGCACAAACCATTCCACATGGGTACAGCTCTCATCTCCCACCATCCCCACACCTGCCACCTCCTCTGCTCTCAGTCACCACATCTGAGCCACAAGAACACAAAGAGAGGGGAAAAAACCATAGCAAACCTAAACAGATCCACAAGATTTAGTAGCAGAGATGGATTTTAACACCACTAAAGGTCCCTGGGTCACAAAAACGTGTGGGATCTTATTCCCATGGTGCTGCTAGTGATGAAACAGAGGTAATAAATAGCACAAGTTTGTGTAGCCTGGCAGCTTCCAAACCTCTTTGCTGTCCATCAGTGAAACAACAGCATCAGGACTGGCTTTGAAACAACCTATAATCAAGCAGCTCTGTAACTTGTGACAAATGCCAAAGCCAAATTACATCTTTGTGAGTGAATTGGCACTTACTCACCAGGAGGGATGTGGAAAACTTATCTCAGAGCTGAAGAAACTTTGAGTTGACAAAGAGGAAAATAAACAATGAGGAAAGAAAATGCAATCCTGACATTTCCAGGGGTGACTGATGAAATACTTAATGGCAAAGGATCTCAGGAGGCTAATAGTACATTTTATTTCATTCAATTTAATAAGAAGCCGTTGAATTGTGCTACTGACACGTCAGTGTCCTCAACCTCTGGAAAGCAAAGCAGGAATTCCAGCATCATTTACTCAATCTACAATTCAAAAGGCATTAAAAGACCAGTTGAAGCTTTCTTTACAGTTCCTCCAGCCCAGACTGCAGGGAGAGGTGTAAGGTGAAGCCTCTAAACTGTAATCACTTTGCCACTGTTACCATTTAATTCCTGACAGTGCACAAAGACATTAAGACCTGTGAATAGGATAGAGAATTAGTTTTAAGGAGGAAAACTTTTCAATTCTCAAGTGCTGCTCACCCTCCAGCTCTGTTAGAGGATTCCTGGGTGGCAGAATTCTATTAGGCTGTGATTACACCTAGCCTGGAGTGAAAAATTGAAAAATCTTGCTCTGAGAATGAAATCCTATAATATTTTAGTTTTTCTCAGTCCTGGCTGCTGACAGACAAGTGTCTAGACTTGAGCTGACCCGAACTGAAAGTCACTAAGAGGTCAAGGTTTGCATGACTTGGACTCAGCCCATTCCACCTGCTCTCCCTTTACTCACTGCTCTCAGCAAATTCCCTTCCAATCTAGGCCATTCCTTGATTCCTCTGTGTGATGGTGTCTATAGATTGCAAAGTTGTTAAAGCTACTTCTTTTTCTATTCTCTGTGTGTTGTTCCAAGGCAACAAGTCCCTACACTGATGAACCAAAAAAGGTTACATTAATAAATTAGCATGCAGATCCCACCCCAAAAAAAGAGTGAGGGACAGACTCTGGCTCTTTGCTATTTTTACCAAGCTTTGGCACAGCCCTCACATTCCATTTAGAGTGAGGCAGGAGTGGCAGCAAACAGGAGTTGTTATTGTTTACCCAGTTTTACACTCAGCCTCACACAGCTGATTCCCCAAACCGAGATTTGTTTCACCTTTTGTCTTAACCCAAAATGGGAAAGCAATAGATATGCTGCATTTAAATGAGGGAACAAACCAGAAAACGAGTAGGATTTGGGTGTTTAGGAGCCTTTCACTGTTTTTCATCTGCCTATGACTTCAGCCTGAAAGTTCTTTGAGAATGTTATTTAGTTGTTTTCCACTAAAGGAGAGAAACAGTAATTTGCTGAGAAAAATTCCAGGCCATGGATCCTTCTGCTTGCTCATGCAAAGAAGGGTTTGCTGCTCTTAGCATCACATTTTTGGTCTTATAAACTGGTTGGTATTGAAACTACTAGTGAACCTGCTCTACCTAGCCAGGCTGGAGCAATGCAAGAGCCTCAGGAAGGCAGAGAGACTCGTGTTGGTGCCCAGGTGGGATCTGGGGATGGATCCAGAGGTTCAGCTGCTCCAGTACAGACACCAAGCTCCTGTGACATGCTCTGCACTGCCTGGAGGACAGAAGGCTTTGGGAAAAGCTTAGAATGCCTAAAGGGGCTCCAGGAGAGCTGCAGAGAGACTTTGGCCAAGGGATGGAGGGACAGGACACAGGGAATGGCCTCACACTGCCAGAGGGCAGGGACAGATGGGATAACGGGAAGGAATTCCTCTCTGTGAGGTGCTGAGGCTCTGGGGTGGAATTCCCAAAGGAGCTGTGGCTGCTCCATCCCTGGGAATGTTCCAGGCCAGGGCTGGGCCACCAGCTCCACTCCTAGAGCAGGAGCTGCAGCCTCAGCACGAAGCCACTGCTTCACATTTCACAGCAGACTGTGCTCAGCAGAGTGAGCAAGTCATTAATCACCTGCTCTGGGTGTTTCTCTGGGTCAGGCAATATTTTGATACGTTCTCACACAGGCCAAAACACCCTGAGAATTGCTTTTGCCACTTGAAAGCATTTGCTGCCAGTGCTGTGGCTTCGTTCGACAGCCTGGGAAGGAGAAGATTCAAGCAGTTCAGCAGCTCCCTGAATTACATTAGAACACCCTTGGAGTGCATTATTAGCCTTCCCTAAGCCAGGGGAGATCCAGCAAACAAATCAATCCATGTAAAGCTTAGGAGCTGCTCACAGACATTGGGAAACTGCAGAGGGTGAAAGATGCATTGATGCCTAAATCTTCCACGGTATTTCTTTCCTCATTCATTTGCTTACAGTTTTTCCAGAGGGAGCAGGAAGAAGCATTTGCCAGTGCTCAAAATTCAGTTTGTTATAAACTTGACTATAAATTCCAAAACAAGTCAATTACGTTTCTGGGAAATTATTTTTCTTCCTGTGCTCAAACTAATTACTGACACTGATACGATGGAACCATTTCCCCCCCATTCATTTAAAGGAGGCAAGAAACAGCTCTTGACAACATGACAAATAATTTTTCTTTTTCTGGTTCCATATTCATTTTCAGTTTTAGATTAATTGGCCTTAGAAATGCTGTTTTCACTTATTCCCACTCCAGTGTCACACAGAGGTTCATTTTCTGCTTCATTCACATCCAGACAGTATTATTTTTATTTCTAAGCAAGGAGAAATTCCTAATAAGAGAATTAGAGCATCCTGGTCAAATGATGTTACAATAACACTCTGAGTGTCATTGAAGAAAAACAACAAATTTCTATCCAATTCTCCCTGAGCAGCAATGTTGACTCTTTGATGTCTTAAATGCATCTCTGTAGGTTTATAAGAACATCTCTCCACAAATGAATCTCTCAAGCATTGACTGACATCCTATTCAAGTCCTGTAAAGTTCAAAACTTGCCCACAGGAGCTGAAGCTGTAGTTAAACAAAAAGCCAAAGGTTTGGCATTAGGAAAAATGTTCTTAAGACTTGAAATCAGGAGATAAGTCATAATTCTGCAGAATAAGATGTCCCAAGGTATTTTCCTTACTAAGGAGCCATCTAAGGTGTTGCTCCTCGAGTCATGTTTGGGGGGTGACCTTGTGAGTAGATATCAGAATGTGCACATCTCTCTACTCTGACTTCCCAAGTGGTGTGATTTTCTTGCTGTTTGAGACCCCTTCTGATGACCTCCCAGATATGGCTGTCATTTGGTAGCTCATCCTGATTTAGGAGTCCCAGAGGAACTAATTCTCCTCCAGGCCTGGTATCAGCCCTGTCACTCCAGCTGGAAATGGGAATACACTGCTTGGATAACCAATGAGCTGATTCCTGATAGAACATCCATGTAACTGCATGACACCATATATTCACAAACCCTTGTTCCTGCAGGAATTGTGCTTCGAGTCACAATTTTTCCAAGACAGAACAGAATCCTATTTATTTTTTTTCCAGTGTTTTAGTTTCTTTGGTTACCTGCAATTCCTCACTGCCTCTGCCTTAACACTCTGTGTATTTTCCATTTTAGGTTCTTTCTTTCCTGCAATCAAACCCCCGGACACACTTTTTAAAATAACATTTTGGCTTGGATATTTAAACAGCTGCATCAACCCCATCATCTATCCCTGCTCGAGTCAGGAGTTCAAGAAAGCATTCCAAAACGTCCTGAAGGCTCAGTGCCTCCCGAGGAAGCAAGCAGCAAAGAAGCAAGTCCCAAGCTTCAACCTCAACCATCCCAGCAGCCAAAGCCTGGAGAGTGGCAGGGGAGTGGTGAGGATCCCTGTTGGCTCAGGGGAGACCTTCTACAACATCTCCAAGTCGGACGGGGTGTGCGAGTGGAAGATATTCTCCGCGGTGCAGAGCGTGCCAGCCAAAACTGCTGTCTCTAAAGACTGCACTGCTGCCAAAGCTAAAAGTAAGGAATGCTGCTGTGCAGGCACTGCAGGGAACCTTGGCCACGAAAGCTGTAAAGGGCCAAGCACTAAGATCCACACCATCTCTGTGGGTGAGAGCGGGGAGGACGTGTAACGGGCCCGACGCTCCGAGCGGCGCGCGACGGCAAACTCCTCCAGGGATTTGCTCTTTTTGTTGGGAAGTAGGGGCAGATGTTCAAGAGTTGGAAGGGTCCAGGTGAACAAACAGCAGACTGTAAACAGGGCCAGGTCTTCTGAGGAGCGATGTCTTTGAGTGCTGGGAGTGTGAGTGAAGCCCCTCAGAGACAGTGGAAGGCTGCAGTGGATGGTGAGCGCCCTGTGGGCTGCCAGGACAGGGCCTGCAAGTCTCTTGCTTGACACTGAAAGGTTTTAGCCCTGTATTCTCCTCTCTCACAGCTCCTACTGCTCTGCTTTAGGGGCAGCAGAGGAGAAAGAGCAGCCAACAAAGACCCCATGGTGATTCCAGCATCGATACGCTCTGACAGCTCCACCTTCAGAGCCATTTCTTCATTCTGTCCCCCCCAAAAACAAAGCTAAACCTCAGTTGTGGATATCAGTAAACTCCACTGCCAAGGGAAACTTGGTCCAAGTGACTGCACTCCAGCAAGCTTCAGAGACCAGCCAGGACTTTTTTTTGTACAATCAGCCTCTCCAAACCAAAGGAAATGAAAATTTGCATGCGGCCCAGGTTTGTTTGGAAGGTCTCTGTGCTTTGATGCAGGTCTAATAAAATCCCAAACTAGGTAAGTTGTCATCAAATCAGGCTCAAAGAGGTCACTGTCACTCACCCATTTGTTTTCCTAGTTCTAAGTCCAGCAGGAACCTGCTGAAAAACTCTGTAACTCCTTGCTCAGGTGTTGACTAGCCAGATCAGTGCCAGTCACTGGAAAACTGCAGAGTTTTTGCTGTCTCCCTGCCCAGTGTTTTGCTACATTCCTTTTCCAGCTCCTTGAATACCAAGTGCTCTAAGCTTTCTATGAGGTCCTGGGTACCCTGGAGTCAGGAACTTTCCCCTTGTTCTGAGCAGGGGGAGTTAAGCAAGTTAAGTGGCTTAAGGACATCCATCCCCATGAGAAAGGGTCATCCCTTGGGAGTTTGGGAGAAAAGCATTTGGAAGCATGTCATATTTTTTATACAGTTAATCCAAATAAATAAATAAATGAGATGTTCAGCATCTGGAAGAAATAGTGGGAGGAATTCTCTGTACAATATTAGAAATAAGCAGCTCCTGAGCCTGCCAAGTTAGGGTTCAGCTTGTTGAAACAACACATGAGCCTTTACTCATGTCTCAGTGGCAGCTCCTGTGCTGGATATCTACTGGCTTGAAAAGGGCTTAAGATAAGGTTCACTTTCACAGGATAAAGCCTTGAAAGGACACCTTGGTATTACTGATGAGGAATCATTGTTTATTCATCTCTCACTCAGTATTAAGTCTCCAATTCAAGAGGATTTCATTCTTCTGTGTCTTAGTTCTGCACTCACAGAACATCAATCTGCAGCATTATCCCATTTCAGTAAGAAATCCCCCTCACTCCTATGGTTCTTCAAGTCTACAATTAGAAACTAGAAGTGTTGAAACGCCATGAAAGAAAACATTCTCATGGTACTTCAAGCCAAGTCCAGAAGGAGAAAAGCTGGAAATCTCATAAGAAAGTCACGTGAGACTCGTGGCTGAGGTTTGAGTCTCACAGGGTTCAGATATGTGGGATGTTGATTCGGGCAAAACCTGAACTTGGAGATTTTTTGAAGAACACCCAATAAATTGAGCAAGACTGACAAGATTTAAAGCCTTCACTGCACATACTTGCTGCCCAACCCTAGTTTATTTTACATCCAATACTGATTTTATAGCCACTAAGGTCCTTTGTGCCACCTTTGGAGCTGGGAGATTTACACAGAGTTCCTCCAGGCATTTTAGAGTTATTGAGGTTTCATGGGGTCAGGCAAGAGGTTGTTGTGGAGCTCCACATCCACACAAATGGATTAGCAATTTAATTCCAGAGCAGTTCTGGTGTAGCAATATAATCTGAGCCTGTAAGATGAAGATAAATAAGTCACTACTGGTGGCAATATCAGGATGGACATGGATAGTCACCTTTGTACACAGTACTCCTGCCTGGGAGAGACAGAGGTTGGAATAATGAAGTCTTGGTCTCATCCTTTTTTTTTTCCCTATCACCAAACAGATGCTAAAGGACCTCTCTGTGTCCAGTGTTTGTGAAAAGCTCTCAGACCTCAGCATCAGGCGAGTCCCAGCCACACCTCTGCTGCTGCCACGTTTGCCAGCACAAACAAACACATCATTTGTTTGGCTCACTCAGAGAATTTCTGGATGAAAACTGCCCCGTTCCCCTGCTGCAAGCAGGGTCATTGGCACTTGTCATCTTGATGGATATTTGGACTGAAAAGTCTCAAAAACCATACAAGGAGCTCTAGGAAGAAGCAAAATTTTTCATATTTTTCTGTTAGTTAAAGTGAACTTGGCACCGTGAAAGAGCTGCAGCCACAGAGGCTGAATGCATCTGTCTGTCTAAAAGCATGAGCAGGACAAGAGGTTTCCCAGTGGCTGAACATCTGTCACCACATGTAGAACCTTCCTACCATCAGGACACTCTCACTCAGGAGCACAGGACAGAGCTCAGCAAGGGAAGAACAGAGTGGAGTGGCATCATTTCCACTCAAAGCCACATCCAGTGGCCCACGCTGACCTGCCAATTGATGTGACCTGACTGAGAGCTTTGAGGGACATATGACATCCCACACTCCTTTCAGTCAGTGTTATCTGTCAGGAGTGACAGCCAAGATTTCCATCTTGAGAGGAGCAGATGTCTCTGCTGCAAAGAGTTGAGAGCTGGAGCATCACATCACTCCTAATTTACACCAGCTGAAGCTAAACAGATCTCTCTTTCTCACAGGGCAGGAAAACTTCAGTTTTCCAGTTTCCACAGTTCATTCAGATTTAATATCTTATGGTTTTGAGGCTTCGTGTTCTCTGTAAGATTATTCCGATCCCAAACACTTAAGTTCTGCTCACTATCCAAATAAATGTCTTTTCATTCTTATACTTTTTTATTTAGCTCTGCCAAGTCCAAGGATGAATTATGCACTGTGTAAGAGAATATTTTCCTTTGCCAGGCTTTAATGTCTTGAAAATCCATGGCATTGAAAAGAGAAGAGATTAAGCTAGGAATATTTCTTGCTTTTCTACTCAGAGTAAGCAAATGGATTTCACAAAGCTCCTTCAGGTTTACTTGCAAAATTTCCTGCCTGACTTCTTCAGTTTTCTGAAGGGAAACACTGACAGGCTGCAGTGCCTTGTACTGGGTGAAGTCAGTTAGAAAAGAGTTTATTGCTTTACTGATGTGGAAGTGCTCAGTTCTAGGTGTGCTGACTGGTGCTTGTGTGAATGGACTTTCACTAGAACTGCATTGTAAAAAGAAGCTGCTGAGGCACAGAGTGACCCAGTGATGCTCCAAGGCAGATTTCAGCTGTGCCATGCTGAATCCACACTGGGGAGTTCACTCCCACTCAGAGAGACCTTTCTCCCCTCTCCTGTCTGCACATGGTCTGGACAAGCAAGGCACTGCTGGGAGCTAACTCAGGGGGACAGGCTGTGGACACCAATGATTCTGGATGATTGCACCCAACAGCAGAGCCAAAGAGAAAAGCCAGTTGATCTTCAAAGTGTTGCACTTAGCTCGAGGCATATTTGGAACCTGCACCAGTGTCGTCCCTTGTCAGAAGAAAAAGGTGTCTAAGAGCTCAGAGAGCTTTGTGTATCTGCTCCCCATCCATCCCCCTCCTGCCCAGAGCCTGAGGCTCGTTGGCACAGCAATCCAAGTGGCTTCCCAAGAAGCCCAAGAGCCAACCAACCCTTCCTCTGCATGAATCTATCCAATGTTTATTGTGTTCCTTGCTTAATTACGACGAGACTTACAAGGGGAAGGTTAGACTAGCCAGGCTAATCCTGTCTTTTCCTATCAGTGCACATAAGCAAACTTAAACCTTCTCCATCTGCTAAAGGAAGACAGTTTGTAAGCATAATCTACTTTCTGCAGGTATTTCCAAGCAGGTTGTTTAATATCTGATAGTATTATAAAAACCCAAGACACTACAGAGATAACTTGTGGTGCATTAAAATACAGATCTTCCACCCAGCTTGATAAATGTAATTGAATGTCTTATTTCCCAGGAGGAGATGAAGCATTTGTCTTAGGGACTGGAGGAAAATGTCATGTGTTCTATGCACAGCACACTGCATATTTCTCCCACTGACAGAGAAGGAGAAAATAGCAAACGTGAGCTAAGGGGAAATGAATTGCTGAAGGGGAGAGCTCTGTACTGCAACTCATTTCCACGAGCTGCAAAACTCAGCCCCTGCCAACCATTTTCTGAGGTAAGGAAACACAATTCTAGGCAGCATTTCAGCTGATTTCCACTGAAAAAGCAACTCCACTCAGCTAATGATACAAACCCTTTGCTGAATACTCAGTTCTTGCTGCCATTACAGCTGTGGGAATTGTACACAAACTGGTTTGGGCTATTTTGCTTTGCCAATCTTTGGGTGTAAAAACTGTTTTCTTTTTCTTCTGTCTGCAGCAGCATTTTGTCTGCATGTCATACAGATTTGGCTGCCAGTGGTTTTGCAAGATGTTTTTCTCAACCAGGCACTGTGTTTTCTGATGGAGGAATTCTGCTGTGGTCGAATTTTCTATGAGCTGTTTGAAAGGTTTATCATGTGCCATATTTGAACAGTCATTTCCTTGAGCAAAATCGAATGTATATGAACTCTTACTAGGTGAACAAATAAATTATTGGGGGGGATGTACACTTTGTGACATGTGAGCAAATCTGTTTGTTGGTTGGGCTTTTTTTCCCCCCTCCCAAAAAAAAAAAAATCTATACAAATGTGTCTTCTCCCTTTCAACAAACATTTCACTCAGAGGATCAGGTAGAGATTCCTCCCAGTGCTTTGCATCTCAGTTTGGTTTATTTGCAGTAAGGCACAAGGGGAATAAAGGAATACTACTTCTATTTCTACTGTAAAAATTTATACTTTCAGTTCTTAGAAGACTTTGAAGTAGTTCCTTTGGG